CGGCGGCGCGATGGCGGCCCCCTGCCCGACCCTGCCGCGGCCCCAGCCGCCGCGCGGGGCCAACGAGGCGCCACCGCCCACAGCCGGCCCCCCTCCCTTGCCCGCCTGCCCGCCCTCCTGGGACACGGCCCGCTCCACCCCTCGCGGCTGCTCACCGCGCTGAGGCGGATCCCGCTGGGCTGCTGCGCCGCCATCTTGAGCGAACTACAAAGCCGGGACCGGCCTCGGCGGCAATCCGAACGCGAGGCGGCGGGGGTAACAGTGGGGCCCGCGGCGCTACACCCACTTCCGGGGCGGGGCGCTCCGAAGAGCCCGCCCACTCGCTTCCGCCTCCAGGCGAAACTCTTCCAGGAATGTGCGAAGGGTAAAGTGCCCACCGGCGAAATACCCCCAGCGCCTGGGCGATGCGCTCGGAGCCCCTGACGGCGGCGGGGGGAAGGCGCATGCGTGAAGCTCGGCGGCCTCTAGCCTGTCACTACACTTGAACTGGACCTGAGATTCAGGTCCTGGGCTTGAAGTCTGGCGCAAAGTGTGGTGTTAACTCAAGGTAAACGCCAGGTCCTTGACCTGTCTGGACGTAAATTTGCACTGGAAAAAAAAAGGTGCCTTGTTCACCCGTGCCAATGTGGTTTGAAACGTCATTCACAAAACTAGGACATGAATTAGTCTTAGTTTTCAGATTTCAAAACGATCAGCCTCCTGTTCCGATTCTTTTTTTAAGTGTCGACTTTGATCATCCAGAAATGACTACATGGGCAGTCCAATATTGCAGGGGTCAAGGAAAATTTGAGAAGTATTTTCACTCACTCATAGTGACCCTATTGTGTCATCAAGTGATTCCAACCCACGGCCACCTTATACACAACAGAAGGAAACACTGCCGGGTGTCCTGTGCCGTCCTCGCCATCGTTCCTAGCCTCTGCTTTACCAAGGATCATACCCTTTCCCAGCAATTGGTCCCTCTTGATGGAATGTCCAAAGTAATCAAGACAAATAGGAAAATGCATAGAGAAATTATTTATTAGTGGTGACCAGGGGATAGAGAGAGGGGGAAATGGAAAAGTATTGCTTAAATGGGTGCTAAATTTCTGTTCATGATTGCTGTTGGTGCCATCCATCAGTTCTGACTCACAGGAACGCTGCAGATCTCAGAATGAAACAGTGCCTGGTCCCATGCTGTCCTCGCACTGTTATATTTGAATCCATTGTTCCTGACACCGTGTCAGCCCATCTCATTGAGGGTCTTCCTCTTCACTGTCTCTCCACTCTCAACAAGCATGATGTCATTTTCCAGGGACTGGTCCCTCCAAAGTTCAAGACTCAATGTCTTTCCATTCTCACTGCTAATGTGCATTTGGGCTGTGTGAGGATAAGTTAAAAAAACAACAAAAAAAGATGCGGCTGAGGTTCAATTCAAATCATGCACAAATGTATTCCAACAGAGCACCTTTAAACATGTCTCTATCAGCCGTGAATGTCTGCAAACAAGTTCTCTTAGTAATACACTTGTCTTATTCTTGTTAAGTTGCCTTCCAAAGGAAAAAAAGGATACTGTTTAAAAAAATTTTTTTAAAGTTCTGCATGAAGATCAACTAACTCGAGGTGCTGATCTTTCCATCCATTTTTTAAAGCAAGATCGAAGCTAGTGAAGATGATCTTAAGGAACTGAGTCTTTGATTTACCAATACAGGCCAGGGAGCAAGGTCTAATCAAAATAGTGATTTCTGAGGAGGTCTGCTGGGCCAGTTAACTGCAAGGCAGAGAGGTCAGCTCAGAAGGTGATGGTGAGTGTGTTTCGGGGATTCCAAAGTGACTATCTTGATAAATTTTCCTCTAAGGACACAGGACAATCACAGGAATGTTCCGCAAGTGGCTCTGAAGGTGTTGCCAATGCCAGACGAGTTATAACAAAAGGAAGAACTTTGTTGCACCTGTACATGGCTCATCGGAATCGTATCCAGAGACTTAACCTTGACCTACCCATCGGGGGTATTTTATCAGGAAGGGGGGTGGACCCATGGGGGGGGTCTGTGGTTGGTTGAGTGAGCCAGCAAGCAAGATTACATAAAAGCAGAAACAAGCTGTATGGGAGAGAGAGGGCTGGCCAGCAAATAGCCAGCAAGTTAGAGAATCGGAATGGGGGGGCGGGTGTTGAAGGTCACCCAGCGCTTTTCACAGTCTACAGATTTGTCTCCAGAGCAGCACTTTGTGCTGGTCTCATCCCCCCATTCAGGTGCTATCACATAGTTTGAGCCTCACTACCTGCCTGTTCTTACAGAAGTTGGAGCTATCTGACATAGACATCCATGATGTCTCATTTTGACTGCTAACTGTCTCCATGGTACAGCTCTAGCTCTAAGACGAAGGAGAAAAAGGATGATCAGACAAACCCCGAACTGAAATAGGACTCCTCCTACAAGGGTTTTGAACACTCCAAAGATGGAGAACCAGGCTCCCCAAAGGTTCTGGGGATTCCACCCATGCCATGTTTGTAAAGGGGCATGGACAACTTTCTGCATTTTCTTCACAATACGTTCAACGGCCCGACCCTGGTGATCTATCTGAATGCAGCAATTGTTAGATTGAACTTCCCTGAATTGCGCCCCATCTGACCCCACCACACCAAGGCAAAAGACTAATGGGTATGCAACAGAACAGCAAGGGGAGCAGAGCAAAGAAGTCCCTAGGGACTTTGAGGCCAGGGTGTGGCACCCCATCAGACTCCACTGGAGAACACTCCTAAAGGTCAACAAACAGACCTTTAACTATTTACAGGCCTTTGCTTTATTTCTTTATCATTGTTTTTTTGTTGTTGTTGCTTTCTTTTGTTGCTTTGTTTTGCTCTGTCTTGTTTTTGTGTGTATTATCTCTACAGGTCTATCTAGATAAGATAGACTGATAAACAATCTGGAGGAGAAAACAACAGGACCAACGCCTGGGGTTGGGTGGGGGAGGGCAACAGGAGAAGGGGAGACAGGGAAAGGAAGTGGTGTTAACAAACCCAGGGACAAGGGAACAACAAGTGAACCAAAAATCAGTGGTGAGGATGTGTAAGAGCCTAGTAGGGCTTGATCAAGGGCAATGTAACCAAGAGGAATTACTGAAACCCAAATGAAGGCTAAGCATGATAGTGGGACAAGGGAAAGTAAAAGGAAATAGAGGAAAGAACTAGGAGGCAAAGGGCATTTATAGAGGTCTAAATACAGTCATGTACATATATAAATATATTTATGTATGATGATGGGGAAATAGATCTATGTGCATATATTTATAGGTTCAGTATTAAGGTAGCAGATGCACATTAGGCCTCCACTCAAGTACTCCCTCGATGCAAGAACACTTTATTCTATTAAATTGGCATTCTAGGATGCTTACCTTCCCAACACAATCACTGAAGACAAATGTGTGCATAAGCAAATGTGGTGAAGAATGCTGATGGTGCCTGGCTATCAAAAGATATAGCATCTAGGGTCTTAAAGGCTTGAAGGTAAACAAGCGGCCATCTAGCTCAGAAGCAACGAAGTCCACATAGTAGAAGCACACCAGCCTGTGTCATCATGAGGTGTCGATGGGATCAGGTATCAGGAATTAAAGAATAAAAATTCATATCATTGTGAATGAGGGCGAGTGCAGACTGGGGACCCAAAGCCCATCTGTAGGCAACTGCCCATCCCCTTACAGAAGGGTCAAGGGGAGGAGACGAGCCAGTCAGGGTGCAGTGTAGCATCGATGAAACATACAACTTTCCTCTAGTTCTTAAATGCTTCCTCCCCCCACCCCCAATATCATGATCCCAATTCTACCTTGCATATCTGGCTAGACCAGAAGATGTACACTGGTACAGATAGGAATTGGAAACACAGGGAATCTGGGACAGATGATCCCTTCAGGAACAGTGGTGAGAGTGGCGAAACTGGGAGGGTGGGGTAGAAAGGAGGAACTGATTACAAGGATCTACATATAACCTCCTCTCTGGGGGACTGACAACAGAAAAGTGTGTGAAGGGAGATGTTGGACAGTGTAAGATATGACAAAATAATAATTTATAAATTATCAAGGGTTCATGAGGGAGGGGGGAGTGGGAAAGGGGGGAAAATGAGCTGATACCAAGGGCTCAAGTAGAAAGCAAATATTTTGAGAATGATGATGGCAACAAGTGTACAAATATGCTTGACACAATGGATATATGTATGTATGAATTGTGATAAGAGTTGTACTAGTCCCCAATAAAATGATTTTTTTAAAGAAAGAGAGAGAGAGAGAGGACAGGAGAAAGAAGGAGGGTCTTATTGTTTTAATTATACAACTCCCTCCCCAATTGCTAGGGAGGTGAGTATAGGCCCTATTTCCACAAATCCAGTAAAGTCCGTCTGGTACCTCCCAATTTTAAGTTTTCTCCAATGAGGGCCATGTTCTGGCTAATGTCGGTAGAAATTAGGCCAATGGATTCTTCTCTCTTAGGTTTCCCCACCATGTGCTCTTGTTAGAGAACACATTGTACTATCATTGGCCGAGACATGTTAATTCCTCAACTGACTCTCTGTAGTTCCTGCCTCCCCTGGCTAAGTGGCACTGCTCCATGATGGCATGTTTTGAAGTCCAGTGGCTGCTGTCTGAGGATCAGGTAGTAGTGATATTCACAGTGCTTCAGAGGGGGCCAGCTCCCTGGCCTCCCAGGACCACTGGTCTCCCATGGAAATGACCATGCAGGTAACAAGAGGTAATATGTAAGGAGTGAGTGACCCCTTTGCCAGTCTGAGGAACATATTCCTGTGGACAGGGGCTTTGGAGACACGGGTTTAGTTGCTGCTTCTTAAAAGGATTTATAGGCTTGTAAGACTCAGGTCAGGTGTTTCTGCACCTGTTCTCAAATAATGACTGGGATGAAGGGTCCAGCCCAATTCCATCAATACCAAGTGTCAACACTTCTCCAGTCTTCCAATGGGGATTCAGTGGCTTACTCTTGGAAACTTGATAACTGCATTTGAACAGATGCCAAAGCAGAAAACGAGTCTCTGGAAGTCAGCCTTCTCGTGGCTCATGTGCAAGGAGCAAATCATCTGCACACTGGAGAAGAGTAGAGCCGTGTTCTTTTGTAGAGAGTTCCCATAGGTCTTTGGCTAGTGCTTCCCCAAAGATGGTGGGAGAATGTTTGAATCCCTGATGGAGGCAGGTCTAGGTATACTGGACCTTGTTGCCTGAGTTGGGATATTTTCATTGGAAAGCAAATAG